GTGTTCAATTTCGGATCTTAGTCTAGCCTCCAGTATTTTTCTATAAATTTTGACCGCCACGCAAAGCACAGATATACCCCTATAGTTTTCACAATGTGCAGTGCTACCTTTTTTGTGGATGGGCAGTATGAGAACATTTTCCCATTCCTCCGGAATCATTTTAGAAGTCCATGCCGCGTTGTAGATTTGTAATGGATATTGTTTAGCGTTTACACCAATATATTTTATCATTTCAGGAGTGATGTTGTCACACCCAGCAGACTTTCCCAATTTAATTTTTTGTATCACCTTTTCCAGCTCTTGCATTGTTGTTTGATTCTCAGTTTTCGGTGTCATTTCTACGTTGTAGCTTCTGTCTTCATTTCTTAAATCTGTTTTATTCTCGTAGTATTCCTTCCACCTTGCTATAATATCATTAGCATCTGTTAATAGTCTACCATTTTTATTGTTAATATAGCAGTGTTCCTTTTTATTTCTTTATTGCTTTATAGCAGATACATATTGAGCATAACTTAATAGGTTAGTGGTAGCAGATTTACCTTTGTGGAAACCATGTTGACATTCCGACATTCGTGCCTTAGAATAGAATAAGAAGAATAATCTTTATTGTGATTATATGACCTGAGCAGTATATCTATATCTTTTTTGCGTTCCACTCAGTCGACAAAGGTCAACATAAATATTTCCGCAATTTCGCGTCTCATAATTGTGCAGGTCAGCATGCGTGCAGTATTTGTTTCTGTTATTGTAAATGTATAAAAGACATTCCAAAATAAACACAGATGGTACTGTCAAAACTTTCAGCTATCTGAAGACGTGACTGCAATCATCTCTATAGCTCAGCTTTAAAATGACTCTCAAAGCCCTGCGCTGTAGACCAAATATGTGGGAGCTAGCTGTGCTTTCTCCCAAGCAATTATACAATAACTTATAATTGATTGAATCAATGCGAAATAGGCAGTTCTGGCTACCTCAGCAGACACCGAACCAACCAATCTGCGCAATAAGAAAATGTTTCGGGCTATCTTTTTCCCTATCTCCGTCGTGTGAGCCACAAAGTTTAAATCCGGAGAACTCAGTGTTAACCCCAGAAATTTAGTAGAGGAAAGTTCCTTTAGATGATGGTGTCTAAGACTGAACAGTAATTGGACTGTCTTTTCATTATTTAAGCAAAGTTAATTGGCAACACACAACTCATTTGCTACCATCAGCAACCCGTTCGAAGAGGACAGCACTTCCTCATACTCATCACCACTCACTAGCAACGTTGCGTCATCCGCATATAACAAACATTTCACATCCTCGCCTAAATTTCATCTCCTTGGAAAATCATTAAAAAAGAGAATAAACAAAAGGGGTCCCAAAATTGAGATCTGAGGGACTCCCCTGGTAATAGGAAGATGCCCAGAGAGGCAGTCTTAGAGTTTAGCTTCAGCTAACCGTGTACGATATGACAATCTGGCCTTATCTTTCATTTCTCTAAAATTATCTGATTTAAAACGGTTAAAAAGATTTGAAGCCAGGTCATAGTTTTCTCTTAGCTGACGCAATGTGCTGTCAAACCACTTTATTCCTCCATCACTGTCTTTAACCCGTCTTCTTACTATGGAATATGCTGTATGAAATGTAGATAAAAATCTATCAAAAAGTAATTAAATTTAGCATTCGCGCTAAGACTGCCATCAGATAAGCGTTCCCAGGAGTACTGTTGAAAGAGTTCAAAAAACCAATATTGCCTTCAAGACTGATTGGCCTATCACTGCTAGTACTATATCTGACCGGAGTGTTTGACTGAAATACTGCTGACACGAATTGGCCGTGATGGTCAGAGATATTGTTTATGATGACTCCAGACCCAATTACGTCTTGTTCTAATTTAACAAAAAATATTGTCAAGACAATTTTTTCCCCGAGTTGGCTGTGAAATTATCGGAGAAAAAACAAAAGCGGAAAAGATATTACATAGTTCGATAGCCCTAATATCGCACGTGCCAAATTTCACATTAAAATCACCCATGACCATAACATTCCTGCAGTCGGCCAAACTAGCCAGAACACGGTCAATAATATCTTTAACCCTTAGTTCCGCGCGTTAAGTTTGAAAAATCAAACCCGCGCGTCGGCGTACTTTATTCCACTACTGGTATTCTATTTTTTTAAAAGTATAAGGCTTCTTAAAAAAAATAGTGGTGTATTGTTTAATTAAATATTTAATTACTATTTAATTAAAATAGCTCATATAATAGTTTTAGGGATATAGACGCCGTTAGATATGAAAAAAAATGAACATTATAATATTATACCAAAGAATAGAAATATCTAAGACACAAAAAAAAACAAGAAAAAACTAGAAGAGAAACACTTATATTACTGAAAAAGAGGTATTAAATAGAACAAATACATTAACTTACTTATTCATAAGAAAATATAAAATAAAAAATAGACATTCTAAAATAATTAAAAAAAAAATTAATATTATTACGAATCATCTGATTTATTTGGATCATTACATTTGAGGCAAACTTGTTTTATTATCAGATGCTTCTTGCACATAAATTCATAGTACTCGTCACATTTTTTTGTTGTGTAATTATTTTTAGCCCTACCACATAATTGGCATCGTCCTTTGATTTTTCTTGAATGTGGCTCTGTTTGCTGCGATGTCGATGGAGTGTCGGTATGTGTTAGTTCTTGGTGTTTTCTTTTTTGGGAAATATATCCTAGTTTTGTAAGAGTCCCTTTGATGTCGATTGGCAGGGTAGTTATTTGGCTTCTTTCGATCAAAAATCCGTTCATCATCTTCAATGCCAAATTTTTTAAAAAGTCTTTTCTAAATTGTAGCTTTGCATTTGTTTTGTCACTGAAACTGTACAAAATTTGGGCATTTATTCCTGCCATGTTTATTGTTGAAAAAAAAACAGGATAAAGTCCACTTCCTGGTTTTTCTAGTTACTGTATAGTTTTGACACATTTGATCATTTGCTGTTTCTTCGTCTCGGGGTCGATATCGTCATAGTAGTGCATCGATGAAATGAGCAATACAGATTTATTTTTCTTCGGTGTGAACGATGTGATTGTTATATCTTTTTGAATCCCGAAAACTGTATGTCCACGTTCTTTTTGCTTAGAAGGCAAGAATTCTGCTGGAAGTTCGCGTTTGTTTTTTTTTTTATAGTCCATAAAAATGTTATATTTTTTTCAAGCAATTGTGTCACTAAACCATAACTGCTGTTTGTCACACTTGAGATTTCTGTTGTTTCCGGGTAACTGATTTAGCAAACGAAAAACTATGCTTGCACCATCATTTTCTGTTTTATATGGCCCGTCAGGTTGCCTGCCGCAGTACAATTCAAAGTTCCATACATAAAATGTTTCAGCATCCGCCAGAGCAAACATCTTCAGTCCATACTTTGCCGGTTTGTTCGGAATGTATTGTACGAAGCTACACCGTCCTCTGTATGGCTCCAACCTTTCATCAATCGTAAGATACTCGCCCGGGATATAAGCGTCTTGGCAGTTTTTTACAACCTTTGCATATACGTTTCTAATAGCTGCCAACTTGTCAACTAACTTTCTCTGATGCCTATCGCTTTTGTCGTCAAACCAGAGATATGTAAGCAAATACAAAAATCGTCTTTCGCTCATGGCAGCGCGAGCAATCTGCATGCCAGTCAGACTTGGCCAGTCAGTCTTGGCCAGTAAAAGGCCAAGAAAGCACAAAATTTCTGACCTGTTGGTGAGTTTTAAATCCCTTTCCCGAGAAAAAGAGCTATCACCAATTTTTTTTTGGATGAACAGATTTGTGTTCACAACAATTTCATCAATAATTTCTATGTCGATGATTTTTAGAAATGCATCCATTTCAGTAATTTTTCGAATAAGAAGTCAAAGACGGTTTTATCTATACTAATCTCGGTTTTTTTGCCCAGTTCATTCCATTTTCCCCGGTGAAAGGTTGTGCATCGTCATTCTCATCTTCAGAATCTGCCTCCTGCTCTGACTCGGAGTCGTGTACACTGGTCTCGATATTTTCTTCATCACGCTCTGAATCTGTTTCTTCAAGATACTCTTCTTTCGGCTCGTCTTAAAAAATTTTGCGAATATCAGCAGCGGTGAGAGCTCTTTTATAATAAATGAAACGAAAGAATAAAAATATTCGTAATACATAGGTGCTGAAAAGAAAATAACTTACTTTGACATTATGCCGCGTACGAGTATATTGATTTCTAGAGTTTTCTTCTAAAAGAATTCAAAAAATACTTGTAAAATTAACTCGTAAGAATAACCATCAGGTACTACCACGTCAACTGCAAGGGTACTGTGACGACCAACAGTCCTAAACAAACAGTGGGCCATCCCCGCCGAATATATTTCGGCTGGCGTACTCGGTACGCCATACGCGCGGGACTAAGGGTTAAAGCTCACAAAACAGCCGGATGGGGGTCTATAGATACAAATAATGACCGCTGTTGTAATTTGTACCTTTTTTATAAACATTTTTGTCTTTTTTTATTTGTATTTAAATTAGTTTTTCTATTTTCACGAATCATAGTAATAAGAGGTTTTTTTTTTGTTTTCGTTGTTGTTGACAACGAGCGCGTCATAATAAAATATATTTTTTGTAAGAGAGTCGTGTTGTACCGCAAAAATAAATAATTCTTTAAACTAAAAGTAGAAAAGTGTTATTCTTACAAAGAAGTGTAAACCAGCGCTGTAACATACGTTACAATAATCAACATGGTCCTTCGAGCCGGATTAAATTAATTATCGTCGTTTTTGAGAAGAACGTTCGTGGTTGCCAAGCAACACAAACAGTGAAAATTTGGTGAGCTTGGAATTCAAAGGAAATTCGGAAGAACTTTCGTCGGGACACGTTATCCACGGGCCGGAAGCATCCCCCTTTAAGTTTGAGCGTGTCGTAAGCATATATCCTTTTTTCCATTTCCTTTTCCCTTGCTTTAATTTGAATCAACTGCGTTGCATTTATTTTACGTATTATTATGTCGGAAATAGAAACTTTAATAAAAAAACGTGGCATTGTCAAAGGCAAGCTAACTAATTTTTCAAAATTCATTAGTAAATCGAAATTAGATGATAGGGATAGTCTCGATCAGACGTGGGTTTTTGAGTTGGAACAACGGTACGATCGTGCTCTTAATTTAATTAGTGATTTTGAAAGTATTCAGGAGAAGATTGATTTAGTAAGCGCCGATGGGGAGGTGCAAGCGTTAGAACGAGAGAATTTTGAGACAGCTTTTTACGCAAGCACTGCGGAAGCCAAACGTATACTTACAAATAGCAAAAATTCCCGCAATTCTTCCCTCATTGTTAGTCCTGCTCCGGAGCAATGCGTAAAGTTACCGGTAATTGATTTACCTAAATTTAATGGAAATAGCGAATCATGGCTGGAATTTCACGATATTTTCGAGTCATTGATTCATAATAATCACACCGTAAATGACGTTCAAAAATTCCATTATTTGTTATCAGCCTTAACGGGTGAAGCTCGACAAGTAATTGCGTGTTTAGAAATTACCAATACAAACTACGAAGTTGCGTGGGATTTAGTTTGCAGTCGATATAACAACCCTCGTATATTAGTGCAAAATCACATTAAGGCACTTTTTAATATTGAAAGAATTACTTCCGTCAACTCGAATGTAATACGCACTTTAATTGATAACATTCGCAAACATTTACGTGCATTAAACACATTAAAGGAACCCACCGATAAGTGGGACACATTAATTATATATTTAGTTTCCACTAAATTGGATTTTGAATCAAACCGTGAATGGGAGCATCAAAAAAAACAGATTGATAAACCCACATTAGATCACTTATTGGATTGCTTAAAAGGTAGAGCTGATTTATTAGAATCAGTTGGAGATAAAGCGCCGTCTAAATCGTTAGTTAAACCTCAATCAGCTACTAGAGCTAGATCATTTGTAGTTTCAAAGCAGATAGATGCAATAAAATGTGTTTTGTGCAAGGCCGAACATAATCTTCAACATTGCCCTGAATTTCTTCAACTTAACATACAAAAACGTATAGAGCAAGTAAAAAAATTGAAACTTTGTATTAATTGCCTTCGATCGGGTCACTTTATTAATCAATGTAGGTCGGGTCTATGTAAACAATGTAAATCTAAACACCACACCCTTCTGCATATCACACATAATCGTTCAGATTTGCAACAATCACCAACAACACAATTACAAACTCTCACATCTAGTTCATTAACAACTGTACAAACTTTATTATCAACTGTCACTTTACATGCATTTGATCGGCGAAATAAAAAACACACATTCCGTGCATTATTAGATCCAGGTAGTCAAAGCAGCTTCATAACGACAGATCTTCGCGAAAGGTTGCATCTCCCTGAAACAAAAACAAATATCAGCGTTACGGGAATAACTCAATCTAAATCTACAATTTCTAGTTCATGTTTGCTAAAAATATATTCGCATTGTACTATTTTTTCACTTCAAGTTACGTGTCTTGTCCTTCCAGTAATTACTAGTAATTTGCCTCAGTTCGCTATCGATGTTAATTCGTTAAAGATTCCTGCTCACCTACGCTTAGCTGATCCTGAGTTTCATAACCCAAATAGTATTGATATATTACTAGGCGCAGATTACTTTTGGGAATTGTTGTGCATAGGTCAAATCAAATTAGATGGTGGACCGGTCATACAAAATACAAGGTTCGGGTGGATAGTTTCGGGTCCGGTTCAAACAAGCGCTGTGCCTTCTATCCAGTGCAATTTAGTTCAAAGCGCACAGTCATCAAAACTTCACGAACAACTCACGCGTTTTTGGGAAGTAGAGTCGGTGAACGTACCCATTTCGCTATCGAAATGTGACGCTTTCTGTGAGAAACATTTTCAAGAAACGACCTCGCGAACGGATGACGGCCGATTCATAGTTACAATTCCAATCAATGGAGAACTTAATCAATTGGGCGTGTCGTACCACAATGCCAAAACACGCTTACTAAGTATGGAGCGTAAATTCAAGCGATTACCAGAATTCGGTAATAAATATCGCGAATTCATGCGAGAATACTCCGAATTAGGACATATGCGTAGGATAGTATCACCGCAGGAATCAGATAAAAATAATTACTATATACCCCACCATGGTGTTATAAACGAAAAAAGCGCAACCACAAAGTTACGAGTAGTGTTTGACGCGTCGTGCCCTACATCCACCGGTTATTCTTTTAATGATCTGCAGGTTGTGGGTCCTACTATCCAACCAGATCTATTTAGCGCTCTAGTCCGGTACAGACAATATAGCATAGTTGTAGTATCAGATATTCAAAAAATGTATCGTGCATGCCTCGTTAACACGGAACAATTAAGGTTCCAGCGTATTCTATGGCGCGATTCCGAGAATCTTCCAATAGAGGTTTACGAGTTAACCACTATTACCTACGGTACAGCATCAGCAAGTTACCTAGCGACTCGCTGTTTAAAGCAGTTAGGTTTAGAAAGCTCCGATCCAGTGATTGCTAACGTTATTAAGAATCATTTTTACGTAGACGACCTTCTTACGGGAGCGGATTCAGTTGAGGAACTTACGCGTATTATTGACGGAGTATCACTAACTTTGAATGCGGGCGGTTTCAAGCTACATAAATGGGTTTCTAACAATCCCGCAATATTACGTTGTGTATCAGATAGTAGAGCCGAAGATATAATAGACATGGGACGTAGAGAAAATACGCGTACGCTAGGTCTGATGTGGGATCCTCAGAAAGATGTCTTTAAATTTAACATTAGCAAAAACACAACTATGGCACGGGTTACCAAACGATCTATTCTTTCTGAGATAGCCCAAATCTTCGATCCGTTAAGGTTATTGAGTCCTGTTATCATAAAGGCCAAAATTATCCTTCAAAATATTTGGCAGGAGGGATTGGATTGGGATGCTGCACTTCCAAATAAAATTTACACACGTTGGTGTGAATTTCGTGACATGTTAGTTCTATTAAATTCCATTGAAATTCCACGTCATATTTCGTTAAAAAATGCGAATGAATTTGAACTACATGGATTTTCAGACGCATCAATTAAAGCATACGGAGCTTGTGTTTACTTACGAGCTACTACTTATTATAATAATTGTTCGGTTCAATTAGTATGCACAAAATCCAGAGTGGCTCCAATAAAACCTACTACAGTTCCGCGATTAGAACTGCTTGGTGCAGTGTTACTTACCGATCTTGTTAATAAAGTTAGAACAGCTTTAAATCTTGAAATAAAAAGAGTAGTGTACTGGACGGACTCTAGTGTTCTGATAGGATGGCTACGAACTGATCCTAGTAAATTACATACATTCGTGGGAAATCGTATTGCGCGAATTCTTGACTTATCGAGAACATCTGATTGGCGGTACGTTTCAACCGAACACAACCCCGCGGACCCTGTTTCACGCGGCATAGACTCGGGAGCCCTCGCGGATTTAACAATATATTGGTGTGGTCCTGTATGGTTAAAGCAAGATGAGTCGTTATGGCCACTTAGAACGTTTCGTTCTGAAAGTTTACCGGAAATAAAGGTTAACGTTCTAAAAGCTACTATAATTGAAGAATGCGTTATTCCGTTCACGCGTTTTTCGACCCTACTTCGGCTACAACGTGTAATAGCATATTGTCTGCGGTTCATTAATAATTGTTCAAATAAATCTGATAAACGAACGGGTTGTTTAAAATGTTCGGAGTTGAATGAAGCGCAAATTTACCTAATCAAATGTAGTCAACGAGACTCATTTCAGGATGAAATCAATCATTTAAGTAGTGAGGGCAGTTTGCCGCAGAAAAACGAACTAACTAAATTAAGCGTATTTCTTGATCACACTGGTATTATGCGCGTAGGCGGTCGATTACGCAATTCGTCTTATAACGTTGATAAAAAGCACGCGATGCTACTTCATAGTAAACACGTGTTAACGCGGTTGATCTTCGAACACGAACACGTACAACTTCTTCATGCAGGTCCGCAACATTTGCTAGCTTCAATAAGGGATCGGTATTGGCCGATTGGGGGCAGAAATCTTGCCAAAAGGGTACTCTTTAATTGCATGCATTGTTTTCGAGTCAAACCGCGAGTGTCGCAGCCTATTATGGGCGATTTGCCATCGCAACGTGTTACTCCAGCACCTCCGTTTAGTACCACTGGCGTCGATTACGCTAGCCCGTTCCTTTTGAAAGATCGGAAAGGCCGCGGTTCTAAAACTTCAAAATGCTATATTTGTCTATTTGTATGGTTTATAACACGTGCTGTACACCTTGAATTGGTGTCGGATTTGACTGCTGAATGTTTTATTGCAGCACTGCGGCGCTTTGTTAGTCGTCGTGGAAAGCCGTCTCAAGTTTTTTCAGATAACGGTACCAATTTCGTAGGCGCGAATCGCGAACACAACGAGTTAGGAACGTTCCTCCAGGGTTGTTCCAATCAATTAACCGGTATGATTGAGAATGAGTCGATTAATTGGTCATTCATTCCCCCTAATTCGCCTCATTTCGGCGGTTTATGGGAGGCAGGCGTTAAAGCAACAAAATATCATTTAAAGCGCGTCGTTGGCAATGCAATACTTACCTTTGAACAATTCTATACGCTATTGATTCAAATTGAAGCAATCCTGAATTCCCGCCCTTTGTCACCCTTGTCCACTGATCCCAATGATTTAACATCTTTAACTCCTGCGTATTTCTTAATTGGGAGAACGCTTACGGCCCCACCAGATCCAAGCCTGGATCACGTCAAGTTAAATCGGCTGTCCCACTACCAATATACGCAGCGAATTCAACAAGACTTTTGGAAGCGTTGGTCAAAGGAATACATTTCGGAACTCCAACGCCGTTCCAAGTGGTCAACTAAAACAGAGAATCTTAAAATTGATGAATTGGTTGTGGTAAAGGATGACAACTTACCAACATTGAAGTGGTTATATGGTCGTCTTATCGCTTTACACCCTGGATCCGATGGTATCGCAAGAGTCGCTACCGTACGCACCACTAACGGGATTATCAAGCGACCAACCAATAAACTTTGCCCGCTTCCAATGATAAATTAGTAGTAATTTTTATATTATTTACATTCTTTTTGTTATTGTTACCTAAGGTTAGATATAGACAATCAAATAATTTGTTAAAATAAGTTTTCTTTAGTGCTCCCCCTCTCCATACGCTTATTAATTTTTCTTTTGAAAGGCAGTCCTTTCAAGGCGGGGGGCATGTTGTAATTTGTACCTTTTTTATAAACATTTTGTCTTTTTTTATTTGTATTTAAATTAGTTTTTCTATTTTCACGAATCATAGTAATAAGAGGTTTTTTTTTTGTTTTCGTTGTTGTTGACAACGAGCGCGTCATAATAAAATAGATTTTTTGTAAGAGAGTCGTGTTGTACCGCAAAAATAAATAATTCTTTAAACTAAAAGTAGAAAAGTGTTATTCTTACAAAGAAGTGTAAACCAGCGCTGTAACATACGTTACAATAATCAACAACCGCCATGGACCTTAGTGTAGAATTCAAGTTTGGATACCATAATTTGTTCAAATAGCTTTGCAAAGTTATTGATGATGGCTATTGGCCGATAATTCGCTACACAGCGCTTATCTCCCTTCTTGTGAACCGGACAAATCTTGCTTAATATGCATGTCTTTGGAGAGTTTTTGATTATTAGGTTGAAAATATGTAAGAGCGGGTGTAAGAATGCAGGGGCGCAGTCCTTGACTAAAAATGCAGGAATCCCATCTGGACCCGTTGTGATACCAAAGGTGACAGAATTAGTATCATAAACAGCGTGATCGTTACCAGTAGGTTCAAATGATGCAGGACAGTACATAGCCTCAAAATGATCGGCAAATAAGTTAACTATTGTTGGTAAATCGGACACACATTCACCGGCCCACTTGAGAGATCCTGGAGATCTTATATTCTTTCTGGTCATGTTAACAAAACGCCAAAAGTTCTTTGCTTCTTTTCTTATGTCCCTCTCCAAAGATTTGTCATATACTCGATGATACTGTCGTATACGTGACTTACAATCCCGACGAAGTCGACTGAAACTTGTGCGATGATATCTGCAATGAGTTTTTCTATACAATTTATGGTGGTGTTTTTTAAATCTAAGCATTCTTATTAGGTCAATTGAATACCATACAGGATATTTCGACCTTGCATATTTGCGCTCAGATTTAGATACGTGAGCTTCCAGTCGATATTCAACAGTGACTCGTACAAGTCAGGCAGATGCGGTATCTCGAGCTATCAAATGTGCAGGCACCGGTAATTACATTCTCGCACCAATGAAAAGTCTGAGTGTGTAATTTGAAGTCTCAAGTTTGAGAAAGCAAGTACCAAATCGAGAGTTCTATCAATGATATTCATTACATTATTTAATTGCAGAAAGTCATTATAACCAAGAAAATTGGAAAGAGTAGTGGCTCGCTCATCATTCGGAACGTCAAGTGACGGAATATTAAAATCACCCAAGGCTATGGTATCCAAAGACATATCCAACATTGATTCAATGTAATCAAAGGTGTGGCTATACATTCCTCCAGGTGTAGCAGGTGGGAAATAGCAGACAACAATATTAAAGGTCGATTTCATCTTTTTAAAGTCAATCCGGACAGCTATCAAGTCAATGTTTCACTGACTGTGAGAGCAATAACATCAAAGTCCGATGCATCGACCGAAGTAAAAAATTCATTGACTTCTGTATTCAATCCGCGTGTATTTTGGTAGTATATGTTGTACTCTCTCCGTTCGGAAGTAACTAATTTTTCTTAACAATTCTCGGACATCCAATAATGAACTGTATTCTTAATTCATTTTCATCGTATTCAAAATCCGCATCTAACAAGTGAAATGAACAATCAAAGAAAATTTTGCGTAAACTTGTGGATGGGGCTCATTGGAAATAATTTAATTGGTTCTTATTTTTTCCGGATGGTTTAGCTAGCGCAGCATACAATGAATTTTACATAACAATTTAATAAACCTGCTTGTCCATGTACTTTAGAAAACAGATGTAATATGGTTTTCCAACATGATGGATGCCCTGCACATTATTCCCAAAATGTTCAAAACTCATTAAATGAAATGTTTCCTAATCGTTGGATTGGAAGAGGAGGACCAATTCCATGGCCTGCGAGGAGTCCTGATTTGACGCCCCTAGCTATTAATGAATTGAATGTCAACCTCAGGATTTATCGTAATCAGGAATTAACGTTTTTAGTTTCTATTCGCTAAAATAAATAGTAAATAGTAAAATCGATTAAACCGATTTTGAATTTTTTTAACTTTCGGTTAAAGTTTCGGTAAAGTTGTCAAAATTATACATTTGCCAATGCTTATCTTATTATTTTGTATAATTGGAAAGTCATTTACGCCTGCATAATACCTCATTTGAAAGGTTACAAAATAGAGAAGTTTTTAACGTAATTTGTAAGCCAGATGTTTAACATCACGAAACATTTCTTCCTTTTATTTTTAAACAAGCGAAAATGTAAATATTTTTCAACTTAAAATGTGTATTAAAGTGTAGTCTATCCAGAGAAGTCAATAAGATGCCAAAGAAACTCTCATTAAACTCTAAATACTGAAAATGTACAAAAACCAAAAAATTAAAATATTCCTAAACTATTCAACTTTGTATAAGGCATATTTGGCTTAATCAATTGCAAATGAGCTCTATAATAATGCATTTCAATAAATACGTTTATGTGTCAGTCACCCTGTATATTAATGTTAATTAATAATAATTGAAAATTATTTTTTTTTAGGATGCTAAAAGATCGAAAAATTCTAAATTTCGATTTATTACCCCTACACTTTTTATTACAACACAAGAAAGCAGAGAAATTGAGATTGCGAAAAAAGTATCTTTAATTTTATCGGAAAATTATGAGCCGATTAAATCAATTATCGATAAAAACGATGAATCGTGTTATGTTTCGAGTGATTACTTAGAACCCTTTTTAAATTTTAGTTCTACATGTTTTTTTAAAAGCACTTTAAATAATTTACAAAAGGAAAATTTTTACGTTCCAAATTTGAATTTGCCTCATACGAAGTTTAAATGTGGGGGTTTATTAAAAGATTGGTCGAAAATTCCGGGTAGAGATAAAAGTCCTTGTAAAAATAATAAACTAATTAAAGAAACTCTCAATAATTTGAACGAGAACGATATAATTAATGATTTAACTGAAAATTGTGCAGAAGAAATTAATTTTAGTGAAGATAAAAAGATTGAAAATAAAAGAGAAATGTCACCAGATTTATTTTCATCTGATGATGATGAAATTAATGATAAAATCAAAAATAAATCGAATCAAACATCTTCTAATGATACTACTTTAGAAATAACTTTACCATCAAATTTTAATAAACAAATAATTAATTCCCCATCAAATAAAATCATCGAAGCATTTTCAGCATCCATGATGAGCAATTTTAAATCATTCAATAACACAAGCGATTCAGAATCAGATTTTGAAACATTTAAAAGCACAAAAGGCATCGATCATTTCGAAAGTTTTAATATCGATGGTGATGAATTCGCTTTTAGTATATCTCAAAAATGTAGTGATAAAGAATTAAATGATTCAAATAAATCTTTTGATTTAAATTGTGAGATATCCGATAATTCTCAACTTAATAGAGTTAAAAGTTATGAAACTGATGATGTTAATAATACTTGCGATGAGATTTCTGATATGGTTTATTTAGGAATTAAAGACTTAGGTTCTGATGATACAAATAAATCTTTGAGTCAATCATTAAATGAAATGGAAAATGAATTAGTTGACGATAATAATGATAATAATTCTAAAAATGATGAGGTTTTTGATTTAAAACAGGAATCTGACGAAGAAAATAAAAATGATCAATTAATTGATAAATCAAAGGTTGTGTGTAATGATGATGATGTTATTTTAGATTTAACTCAAGATTCTGATGAAGAAGATAAATTTTTAAATCAATCGTTTAATCATGAAGTTGAGAATTTTAATAATTTATCTCAAGAAATGAATTCTTCTTTTAATTATAGTATTGAGTCGGATGATGATTGTAATTTTTTTGAGCACCAAGAATTTTGTAAAATGTATCTAAACAAAGAAAAATTTATTGAATATTTAGATATAAATAGTGAATCAGAATCAAATAGTACTAAATTATATTGTTTTAATGATGATTTGTTTATGAACGATTTAATTTCAAAACCGTTAGAAAAAAACGATGCACAAAATGATGCTGAAAAAATAAAATTATTTGAAGATACTTTTACCCCAAAAAAATTTAAAAAATCTTTATCAACGCAACAAGTTAATTCAGTCCGAAAACCAAGTCCAAAAAAATTCAAAAAATCTCTTACATTTTCTTCCCCAAGTAATACCCAAAAAACTTTACCATTTTATTTTAAAAACAACATTGAAGACGAAAAGCAACAAATTTCTTCGATTAATTTCGAATCGACTTCCAAAGAAATCGAAAAAAATGATAGTTCTGAAACAATTTGTATAAGTGATGAAGAAATTAATTATTCTTCTATTTACTCAACACCTAAAACATCAAAAAAATCTCCTGATATAGTTAATGAAATAATTGAAAATCCAGTCGATTTAAATACACCGA